TGAGCCTCCTCAGAGAAGATATTCTTCCGCAGCAGCTGGATCAAGTCATTTCGAATAGAGTTCACGAGATCGGCAGTTTGAGCGTTGCTAGAGTCAAGCCCGATAACCTGCAATGCCACCGTAGATTAGGATTGTGTTGAAGGGCTGTACGTGAGTGAGGCATTTGACAAATTCCAGCACAGGATCCTCTGAGAATCTCGCCGATCCTGATGATCTCGTTTCGTTGGCCGCGGCTCTCGCCTACGATCGATGGAGCATGAGTTGGTCACATGAGAACTTGACTCACCGCGGCAGCTTGCATTGGGAACTCCCACTTCATCATGAATTGATTGAGACGTTTCTCAAGTCGCTCCTTCCGTGTCAACTACAAGCGAAGACTATGCTGCTAACACAACTGAACAAGATGAGGAAGGACCCACCTCGAAGTCCTCGTCGTCACTTTGAATGGAATCTTCGTCATCTTCCGAATCATCACTTTCCTCACCCTCGACTATCCTATGCCGAAGCTCAGCCATCTACAATCAACAGTTGCAATGGAAAAATTGAGCCTCTCCGACGACACCAACTACTGGCAACAATGAACACTAGCACTTCAACCTACCAAAGCTGCATCGTTCTGCATCACTTGAGTCACATTGGAAACGTACCGATACAGCTTCTGGCGGAGTTCCGGAAGGACTGATGATGATGATAAGCAACGATCGATACGATGGGGGCCCTAGTGGCAGTATGGCCCTACTGGTATTGCAAGCATAGGCTTGCACCTCAGCCATGATCTGCTGATCTGTCATCACTGCTGCTGCTGGATCGGCATCTTCCTCCTCTTCCTCGTCTCCAGAGTTACTCCCCTCCCTCCTCCCTCGCCTCGCATCATCCATCAAATCGTCGAGCTCACACCGAGCCTGGACTTGGGCGTCAGTAGCATGCTGAACCGGAAGGTCTACGAGCAGCAGATCTGAGCCTCTCTAACTCACAGCTATCTCATCCTCTCTGTGTTGAATCTCCTGGGCTCGTCGTCGCTTCTTCCGCGTCTACCAAGACCATTGGACATGTCCAGTAACAATCGTCACACCTTCTCATCCAAAGTCACAAGCCTTTTCCCTCGCTTCAGCTTCTCCATCGCCTTCATGCAGTGCACGAGGTATTCCGAACAAAACCTACAACCACAACTATCTCACAACTGAGGTCCAAGTCAGCGGCTTACACATAAAATGGCGCTCTCATCGCATTCGGGAGGAAGTCTGCCACCTTCCAAATCGCATCGATCTCCCACTCAGCATTGACCGAACCCGTGGTCGGGTCCGTCGGCAGAGCTGACCAATTGGCCGGGTCCATCCATAGTAACCCGTAGGCGCACATATCTACATATGTTTCCAACCAAAGGAGAAGTTAATGGTATCCTACCTATGGTGCTGACATCCTGAAAGACCACAGCGAGGGGCTGTAGGATGGGATGGTTCACCACAACACTCTGCATGCCCTTCCACACTCTAGTAACATCACCGACCGATATCTGCCGAGACCTTGATATGTTAGACTATGACTCTGAAGAATCTCTCACCCTTCCAGTAGAGATTATCAATTTGGTACAGCTTACATACACTATCTCTAAGCTTCCAGCGGAACGTTTAAGCTCGGACACCAGTAGACGCAGTACAAACGACATGAACTGGAGGACCTGGGAAAGTGAATGAGCTCACCAGCGAGCCCTCTCGACAGGGTATGTGGCACCTTGTCCCGTATACTCCTATCTTTCACCCTACTGCAAGTCGCCGAGTCGCAGACCCAAGGGAAGAGACCATCCAGCAAGGTTTGGGTTTGCTTCAACTCACATTCGAGAGCGCTGACTGTTTCGGCATAAGACCCTAGCAGTACAGGCAGTCACTGTAATTGAGGGATAACCTAGAGAGGCACTCACCGTCTGCTATCTGCTGCTCTCGCCGAAGCCTGTCGGCATCGTTCTCGGGTTCTTCCAGCAATTTCATCAACTTCGCCTCCGCTGCTCTCCCTCGCGAATATAGCTTCTCCACCGTACGTATCAGGCATGTGAAGGACTAATCGAAAGCCAATAGCATATTTACGATCACGGGCGAGCAACCACTCCTTCACACGATCCACCCAGGTTCCACCCCCAGGCCCACCTTCGTTGATGAGACCGAAATATCCCCTCCATCTGCTACTGCTGGTATACCAGCGTTGATATCGATCAGATCAGTCAAGCCCGTCTCGATATACTCCGGCGACTCCGCTGCGGTCCCTCCCAGGGCTCCACCGGACGTAACCACTCCACGCTGGCGAGAAAGCTCACCCCCAAATCTGTCAACGGGTCACAACCATACTGCAATAACGAACTCACAGATCAGAGAGCTGTTGAGCTTTCACCAGAGCTGTAGTGCACACTGTACTGTGGAGGTCAATACTAAGGCATACGGAGCGGTAAATGCCTGGGTTGTTGATCTAACACAAAAAGCATAAGCAGTAGACAACAGATGAGGAGGGAGGGCACCTCCGCTATGTCACCGAGATCAGGCCGGCCAGTCTTGGGTTCTAGGAGCAGTTCTGAGGTCTCAGCCAGGTCCACTCGATCGACCTACGCACCGTCACTAACCTGGTAAGAGGCGGGGCAGCTCACCTCTTCCTGTGGGGTAGTGTTGAGGACCAAGCCTTGCTCCTTGGCACTGAGGAAAGAGACATGATCAAGGACTGTGGGACTATAGCGACCAACCTCCTTGCGAAAATGACATCCCAAGCTGCGGAGATAGCCTCATCGTGACCAGGGGGGAGGGAACAGACCGGCACTCCACTAAGCCGTGCCAACCACAACCTAACGAGTATGTCCACCAAGTATCGAACGAATGACTCGAACCTGTCGTGTTTGAACCATCCTTGAAGTCTCGGCAAACGCTTAGCCCATCGTCGTAGATTCCAACGAACCCAGTCTATAGGAGGGAAGCTGGCATCAGCCGGGCCCATCTGGGTAGAGGAAGAGCAAGCCTATCACCAACGGATGACGATTCCCTACCGGTGTTCGCATGATGATGGACTCGGTGGGCACGAAAGGCGGCGACATACGACGGAGGTCTTCAGCGTTAGTCGTCACCACAGTGATCTGATCTCTAATCCTCCTCCTCCTCCTCCTCCACAACAACAACCACCCTCCCCTGACCCTTACCATAGCGCCATGCCGTCTTTGCCAAGTGGAGACCTGCTGCTCTAGAAGACCTTGTAGCTGAGCAGGAGTGTCCGGGTACTCTGCCTGAACCAGAGAGATAGCCCCTTCACTCATACACCCACGTTGACTCGCCTGAGCCGCGCCTATACGATCCAACGCCGCCGCATTAGCCTCTCCAATGGCTCCCAACAAAGACTCTCGGAAGATGCGGTCCACACTCGTATCAGTAACTCTAATAAGACGTCTATTATGGTCATAACCCTACACCTATTCCTCCTACTGTTGTTCCGGCTCTGTTCCACAGACATAAATCTTAACCTCACCAAGGGCTTCAGAGTAGGCCATACCAGACGGAAGGTAACTGACAAGTACACGGGTCCTCTCCCTCCCAGACTCCCCAACCCTTTTCGTGTCGAGGTAGTAGCAGTATAGTGATGGTTCTTACACTGCAGCAAAGATCCGGGTATAGTCAACAGCAGCATCATGAGTGATCATGAAGTAGCTAACACAGGGACAATTCGATAAAACAGTTTATGGCCCTACAACTGCTTACATGTAGCAATGCCGTGGAGGAGACTGTAGCATTGGAAGATACTTTTCAGAACAGGGTCGTAACTAGGGGGAAGGCTCAGGAGACGGAGCGGTAGAAAAGAGTCATTACGTTTCGAGCTGAATCTAATCTTAGGTCGCTGAAAAAGGAGTCGGGAACTTTCGTAGGGTCGTGGAATTGAACCTGTGCGGGAATCAGAAGCCACGGTTAGGAGCCAGTAGCTTCTACCGTGTTGGTAATTGTAGTCTCAACCTCAAAGACGAGCGATTGTGGTGTAGGACACTCAAACAGACGGACGCCCCTCAAAGAAGCCGGCACCACTCGGCACAGCTCCTCATACCACTCCAGACCAACCGCCGGCTTCAGCGTAACCTATCAAGTTCAGAAACTGCCTCCGACTTTAAAGTCCGCGATGTTCACAGAAAAGTGGTATATGAATGGTGTTGTACCATAAATAATCTCATAAAATTACATTACAGAACCAGGCAAGTTGAACACTTACCTCAAACACACTATCAGCCAACATATTGCGAGGAAGCTCCAGCCCTCCGCTGAACTGCGAGGTAGAATCCACCTAGGAAAGAGGCCACTCTCGTCACTCTCGTGAACTAGGGATGCCCCCCACCTTATCCAAGCCAATGACGTCGAGGAGTTCATTGATTCTTCCACTATCCTCAAGTGCTACCAGGAATCTAATATCGGACCTGGTCACTACGAACAAGTATTCACTATCGTACCTTCTACCGAGCTTAAGCATAATGCGATACACCCTAGAGCTGTCAGCGGTCTGCACCCACAATGTTACCGCACTGGCATCACTCACAGGCTCACAGCCGAGGACGTGCCTAACAACAGCCCGACCCTTCACAAGAAGGGCCCCAGCGAGCCCCCACCATGTGGCCACCGCCAGCTTCCTATTGGCGATGTTCCAGACTCCTCCCCCTACGGTAGATGGTGCATCGCCGACCACAGGGCCCTCACCTAGTATAAGGGCTAACTCTACCCTACTGACCCTAAGCCCTACTTGAGCCTCCAGCCGTATCAACTGCGTTATGTGGCAACGTAGTTTGACCAGCCATAGCACCCAACCTGAGGCGTCGGTTGTTCGGCGAGGCGAACACCTCCGATCTACCTCTGCTGTGCCCTCTCTATCCTCTCCCGAAGAGCCTCTTTGTGCTGCTTCGTGCCCTGATGATGTTCTCTAAGATTCTGGGCTTGCTTCTGAGGATCACAGGAGATCATTGAGGCGACTATAAAGAGCGCACCTTCTTCCAGTTCACCGGCTGCTTTTGGGCTGGCTTGAGGATAGCAATGCCCTCCACTGACACATCTTCAACATCAACTACCATAGATGATGATGATGATTCTGCTGGGGCTCCACCGGACGAGGCTGGGATAACCTGACGAGATGGGCGCTCCATTCCTTCCAGTGCGAGTCGAGCCCTGTACCTCCTCAATATCCATTGTACCAGAGCTCCCATCCGGTTCCTGCTCACGAGGTCGCGAGGGGACGGCCGAGCTCGACGAGGAAGATGACGATGCAGAGGGCCCCCCTTTGGGCACTCCCATTGTAATTTTCTTCTTGTTGGTAGTCGAGGGCTTAGATGACATTCTCGCAAACATGTCAGTCAACTTCTTCTGCCTGAATACAGCAGCAACATGTGTCATCGCACTCTATACAGCAGTACTAGTAGCTCACTTGAAAGTATCCTCCCTCTCCCTCACCCGCTTCTTCGCCCACTGCGGTAGCTCCACAGAAGGACAAGGGTTCTTCACGTGTTGGTTCATAGCTGCAATCGATACCCCAAGGAGCTTACCAGTAACACACTTCACCCCTGAGCTCACCTGGTATACCAATGATTTTCTGTATAGCCGCTCCAAGCCTCGTCCGATAATATTGCCAGTCTATAATATCTCGTATGTCGAAGTTGCGTATCGATGGATCACCCATCCACTTCCGGAGGTACCTGTCACCACGGTGAGGGGAGGGCGGGTCTCCGTTCGACTCACTTCGTCTTGACATGCTCCTCTGCACTAAAGATGTTCACCGGTATAGCCCTCTCAGTTGGTGTAGCACCTAAGGGCTTCCGAGCGATAATCAGATGGCAGGATATTCCCTTCTCGCGGAGGATCGACGGACCTGCAAACCGTAGTGATGGCTAATGGTTCATCATGCCTGCATGATTCTACCAAGGAACTCGGCCATGCGAGTAGCAGTAGTTATGCTGGTGCTCTTCAGAGCTCCCGAATCCTCGACGCTTTTGGACATCGTCTTCTTCTCTGAGATGAGATGTATTACTTCCTCATCCGTTAATGACGCTCCTTTGGTGTCCAAAACCTGACAAGAACGAGGACAACATATATGACAGCTGCGGGGTTCGAACCCGCGCCCTTTCGGAATGGCGCCTAAAGCCACCGCCTTAGACCACTCGGCCAAACTGTCTGATAAAAACTTCTACGCTATCTTCAGTACTCCACTACTGGACCATTGAACTACACATCTCGTTACCTCCAACCACCTGTTTGCCACCTGCCCCACCGCAGCGTATGCCTCTTCGATGTTTCCACCCTCCAAACACTTCGGGAATAACTCCTCTTGGAACACCTGTGCTCGAATAAGTTCGCCAAATTCACTCTTCTTCCACACTTACCTGTATCAACTTCAACTCTCCCCGACGTTTGATCTCAAAACCCTTCAACTCTGCCAGACTTCCATCCTCATTAAACACAGCGTATCGCTTTTTCAAGAGGCGATCCTCTTCAGTCGAGGCAGGCAGCAACTATACGACAATAGCGCTCGCCCGAAGATCTTCCCCACCCACCATGCACTTGTAGGGTCCATCAATCTCGAAGAAAATGGAATTCTGCGACGATCTAGCATATGTGCCATCAGGCTGCAGATCCTGATACTGATGATTTGTGTACCTTCACCCATCCATAGCAATGACAGTCATACCAATAGACCTACTTCTCGTGCACTCTGACGTTGAGGACTGAGCACGGGTACGGCATCGTCAACACCCTCCCCGACTTCAGCTTGAATTGGAAGTTCTCAGGGAAGCTCTTAGGCAGCATGCACCATATACCATCAGTATCCAATTCCAGCGGCAGCCCAAGGCGGTCCACGAAGGCCCTAGCCTGACAACCCTTCCATTGTTCATCCTCCCCATCAAAGCACACCCACCTCCCTTATCAACCCCGAGCCCGTGTAAGTGACTATACCCGCCATAGTCATGGAGTGCCATCTTGCGCCCTTCCTCATCACGTAACCGTAGAAGCTATTGAGGATACACTTATGTGCCAAT